CACGCAAATACTGAAATGTGCTAGTCTTCCACGCTAAAACCTGAAATGTGCTACTCTTCCACGCAAAAATCTGAAATGTGCTAGTCTTACACGCAAATACTGAAATGTGCTAGTCTTCCACGCTAAAACCTGAAATGTGCTACTCTTCCACGCAAAAATCTGAAATGTGCTAGTCTTACACGCAAATACTGAAATGTGCTAGTCTTCCACGCTAAAACCTGAAATGTGCTACTCTTCCACGCAAAAATCTGAAATGTGCTAGTCTTACACGCAAATACTGAAATGTGCTAGTCTTCGACGCTAAAACCTGAAATGTGCTAGTCTTCCACGGTAATTTGAGATGTGCTACTCTTCGTTGGGAGCGACGATCTGCTCTTTTGCTAAAGTGCCAGGCCACTTGCTCAAGTTGGTGAATACCACTATTGTATTGTGAATGTGTAAACTGCTATGTTGACCGAAACAATAAAGTCAGATTTAACTTTTATAATTGACAGAAAAAATAAAAGTCAAGTTTTAACTTTTATTTTTGACCGAAAAAATAAAAGTCAAATTTTAACTTTTGTATTTGACTGAAAAACTATCAATAAAAAAATAAAGGTAATTGCTGACTTTTTTGAAAACTGTAAAAAAAATAGATCATATAGGATTAACATTCCTTGGCTAACAAGTATCACATTGCTATATACAAATGTTAAAAAGAGCAATTCTTTCCGACTGACTTTTTGAATTGAAATTTTGAAAATAACTATTATTTTCGGTCCCTGCAAATAATGATTACTTTATGATTTTTTATTTTTTCGCTTAGAAGTAATAATTATTATTGAGTTTAATTTTTCCACTTAAAAATAATGATTATCTATAAAATTTAAAAGGCCAAATAGATGCAACCAACTGAAGTTTCGACTTGAAAGTTTTTATACTTATTCCTTTTATTAGGGTGTCGCTACCTCGGAAAACGATACGTGCGAAATCATACTGGTGTAGCCTTTGAGTTTTTTGAATAATCATTATTTTGAAGTGAAAAAATAAAACTCAAAAATAATTGTTATCTTTGAGCGAAAAAATAAAAATCGTAAAGTAATCATTATTTTTGACTAAAAAAATAAAAATCAAATATTAATTATTACCTTTAATTTTTGTTGGTTAAACTCGAAATATAAAAATCATTCTCAATCACAGTAGATCATATGAATATAAATACGTGAGTGTAGTTAAAATTGTTTAGTTACAACATTGAAACTTGTTGTTTTTTTGGTTAAAATTTAAAAAATAATGATTATTTTCCATCCCTGAAAAAAATTCTAAAACCAAAAACGCAGTTTTGCTATATTTGGCCCATAGCGTCGTGAGTATATTGATTGCTTGGTGTGTTTTGAAATTTTTTTTGATTTCAAACTGTTTCAATCTTCTTACTCAGAATTTTTAGAAACATTTTAGGTACGCAANGTTTCAAGCTGTTTCAATCTTCTTACTCAGAATTTTTAGAAACATTTTAGGTACGCAATTTTATAAGTATAGCCCATTAAATTACAAGAGGATAAAGTGCAAGTTTCAAGTGACTAAAAGTAACGTTGATTTTATATATATATTTATAATTTTTTTGCTGGCGGTGTCACGCATTTTCTCCCATAGAAAGTATGTGCGACATTTTTTATATGGAAGAAAATGCCCAGCATCGGTTATAAAAAACTCCTAAAAATGAACGGTATTTTGTAACTGCATGAAACCTGCATTCTATCCTACTCTAATTTAATGGGCTATAAAACTGCGTTCCTCAAATTTTTCTAAAAATGCTGAGTAAAAAGTTTGAAATTTTGGGAAATTTTTTTGCATTTTTATAATTTTTGCACAAATTTTGAAATGCGCATTTAAATGCAGTTAATTATATAAAAAATGATGTAGACTTTTATAAAAAAATGTAAACATTAAATAAAGAAAAGAAATGCAGACTAAACTGGTTGAAATAAGGCGTTTATTTATTTCTGCCACTAGTATTATGAACTTCTTTCAGGCACACAATAAATATGTTGAATTAATTTTTTTTTTGCATCGAGCTTTTTCGACATGCCTTAAGTTACTTTATCAGATATGTACACGCTAAAGTATTTTTAAATGCGTATAAATTTAATTACTGTCTTTTGTTTTGTTACTAATAAAATATTTTTCAACTTAAATAATAAAGTAGGTTTGAAACCCATTTATTCATTATTTATTATATGGTGGGACAGCTTCTCAAACTATATTGATGCAATTTTTTCATGTTAAGTTGTTGGAAAATAATTACCATCTTAATCCCGGGATTGTATGAACGATGTCACGAAAATCCCGGGATCGCAATAATCGAAAAAAAAACATTCATTCTCCATGCGAGTTAATCGTAGCGCTTTCGGCAGAAGCAATACTTTGATATGAAACAAAATAGTTTTGAAAGCTAATGTTATTCCATTTCACAGAAAAATACTGCCGTTGACCCAAAACTACTCCTTGACCTTAAAAAAAAATTGTCAAAAATTGTGTTCTGCCAAACAACATGCAAAATCCAACGGATTTGTTCCAAAAAAAATTGTTTGTATGTATATAGATTTTGAGACCAGAAACACGATTCCACTGTGTCAAAATTAAAAAAAAAAAAACACACCTCAATTTAAGAAATGCATTTTTGATTGCATTTTTTTTTANCCATCTTAATCCCGGGATTGTATGAACGATGTCACGAAAATCCCGGGATCGCAATAATCGAAAAAAAAAAATTCATTCTCCATGCGAGTTAATCGTAGCGCTTTCGGCAGAAGCAATACTTTGATATGAAACAAAATAGTTTTGAAAGCTAATGTTATTCCATTTCACAGAAAAATACTGCCGTTGACCCAAAACTACTCCTTGACCTTAAAAAAAATTTGTCAAAAATTGTGTTCTGACAAACAAAATGCAAAATCCAACGGATTTGTTCCAAAAAAAATTTTTTGTATGTATATAGATTTTGAGACCAGAAACACGATTCCACTGTGTCAAAATTAAAAAAAAAAAAACACACCTCAATTTAAGAAATGCATTTTTGATTGCATTTTTTTTTATTTTATTTGCATGCAGCTGTGCATCCTTCTCACAATTTTATATCACTCGNTATTTTATTTGCATGCTGCTGTGCATCCTTCTCACAATTTTATATCACTCGAATAACAAGTACGCTGTAGTGCTATTCAAAATCATTAATTTGTGCCATGGGGTAAATATTTAGGCCCTGTGAGAGCCAAGTTTAACAATTTTACACCAAACTTCGAATCTGCTGAACGAGTCTCTACTCTGAAATTAGAAGGAAAAAAATGCAAAAAAGTCGAAGGAAATTTCGAAGTTTAACTTCAGAATCATTATAATTTGGCTCTCAAGGGGCCCAGAGACTTGGCTCAAATTAAAGATCTTGAATAGCACTACAGCGTGCTTGTTATTCGAGTGATATAAAATATTGTGAGAAGGATGCACAGCTGCATGCAAATAAACAAAATTCAATCAAAAATGCATTTCTTAAAATGAGTATTTAAAATTTTGTTTCGATTTTGAAATAGTGGAATCGTGTTTCTCTTTTCAAAATCTATAATACTAGTGTAATAAATCATAAATNTTTGTCAAAAATTGTGTTCTGACAAACAAAATGCAAAATCCAACGGATTTGTTCCAAAAAAAATTTTTTGTATGTATATAGATTTTGAGACCAGAAACACGATTCCACTGTGTCAAAATTAAAAAAAAAAAAACACACCTCAATTTAAGAAATGCATTTTTGATTGCATTTTTTTTTATTTTATTTGCATGCAGCTGTGCATCCTTCTCACAATTTTATATCACTCGAATAACAAGTACGCTGTAGTGCTATTCAAAATCATTAATTTGAGCCATGGGGTAAATATTTAGGCCCTGTGAGAGCCAAGTTTAACAATTTTACACCAAACTTCGAATCTGCTGAACGAGTCTCTACTCTGAAATTAGAAGGAAAAAAATGCAAAAAAGTCGAAGGAAATTTCGAAGTTTAACTTCAGAATCATTATAATTTGGCTCTCAAGGGGCCCAGAGACTTGGCTCAAATTAAAGATCTTGAATAGCACTACAGCGTGCTTGTTATTCGAGTGATATAAAATATTGTGAGAAGGATGCACAGCTGCATGCAAATAAACAAAATTCAATCAAAAATGCATTTCTTAAAATGAGTATTTAAAATTTTGTTTCGATTTTGAAATAGTGGAATCGTGTTTCTCTTTTCAAAATCTATAATACTAGTGTAATAAATCATAAATTTAATAACTAAATTAGCTTTCAAAACCATTTTGTTTCATATCAAAATATTGCTTCTATCNATAAAATTAGCTTTCAAAACCATTTTGTTTCATATCAAAATATTGCTTCTATCGAAAGCACTACGATTAATTCGCATGGAGTGTTCAAAAAGCACACTGTGCAGCGGCCGCCCGCTGCATAGATTACTTCAAAAAAACATTTTTTCGAGGAATATAAAAATTACATGACACATGAATAAAAACGTTGGTCATTGATGAACAAAAAAGCAGGTAAACTCGTAATTGAACCTTTAAATTGCATATTTATTTTTTTGGTCAAATTTAAACGTTATTTTATTATTTTCATCGTTATTTTTAGTTTTATTGTTTTCGTTTTGAAACATAAAAATCATAAGATAACGATTATTCTTGCTCGAAAAAAAATCGAGATTTAACAATTTTGCAATGATCTATAATCTTGGTATTTATTAGTTATTTTCAGTCTCTGCGAAATACTCTGTATAAATGTAAAGTTTATTTAATTTATAAATTTTAGTGACTTGAGTCACATACTTGCATACATATATACAATTATCTATTTACATCCTCTTAGTACATCCCGTACCTTCTACCACTTTGTACCACTTTTTAGTTAATCACCGATAAAAATAAATCATTAACATTAAACTTCATCTAAAATCAAAATCCATCAAATCGTACTAAACTTTTTAGAATCGGACAATCCAGGTTCAACAGATTCCGAAGTTAGGAAAATCCTAACTCTTCACATACCAATTACAGAATATGACACATTAGGATCCGAGTCCGATAATGACGTGTCTGCCCGCGCAATGAACTCAACGAAGTACCGTACTCAACGTGGTAATGATAAATGTTCTTTTATATTCTTCAAATCGTATAGGGGCGTTTCTTATATGTGTTAATATTTTATGTGATTTTGGATTTAAAATTTAGTTCATCTGCGTAAGTCAGATATTTTCTGAATGTGCTTGGAAGACATGCCAAGGTCTAGTTAATTTTAGTTGTACGTATTTTTATATAACTATGTACAGTCATGTGTAGAATATTGAGACTGCCCAGCAAATTCCTGATGGTTACTTTGAACTTCGAGGATATGCAGTATATATTATAATAATACTTAATAAAAATTTTTTATGTAACGAAAATTCAGAAGTATTTATAATGCCGATGAATTCCTTAAGTAAGTATGCATAACAACTTCCCAATCCTATTAAAAATTATACAATAACTTTGATGCGAAAAATTTAAGATTAAGGAAGTATACCCCGGAAGAAAAGAATAGAATATCTTTATAGTAGATAAATTGAATTAAAATTAGTGTTTTTGGTTGATTGATCAAAGAAGCTGTTAGTTTTAAGTTGTCCCTTTCACAACTGTGGGTTATTTAATGAGCAGGGAACGGATTTTATGCAAATTGTCTTTTTTTCTGCTAAAGAGATAGAGTATATTCGATTAAGAATGTCCATGATTTACATAGCTTTCCCTGATTCCATATATACACATTTGATGTTGCTTTTTTTAAGATATTTGCCTTTTCTAACTTTAATTTAAAAGGGCAAGGAAAAATTCCTTATTCCTGATAATATGAAAGTTTTAAACGTTCCAAATTTATATTGGACGCCACTTGTATCAACTCACGCCGAGCGCACGTTTCGTACATTCAAGGCTTTTCTTAGTGAAAATCGCATAAAAATGCTGCCAGAAAACTTCAAAATGCATCTTGTGATTCAATGTTACTACAACAATAGAGATTAAAGTTTCGTGAGTTAAAAACTCGAAAGGAGAAAATAGTCAAAGGTGCAAAGTACAAGTTTTGCTTATAATGAAACTAGTTCATAGTATTTCTCTTTTTACTTGTGAAATAAACATTTTTAAAATAAATGTATGTATTTTTTGATTATTTTTCGGTTTTTGTCTTTTTTAAGTGCTTTCTTTTGCTTTTTTTTGCGCTTTCTAATGCCTTTTCCTACCTATTTCGCTATTTGATTTTACCTTTTCTAGCCGATCTCGTTATTTTATTTTGCCTTTTTTATAGGTTTTTAGGTCCTGGAAATCCGTTCCCTGGTAATGAGTAATAGCAGTCAATATTCAAAAGACCTTTTTTGTGGTCTTAATATTTTACACATCACTGTATGTACGTACTAACTACATATGTGCATATGTCAACTTGAATCTTGGATCTTAATCAGTGATCGGACTTCAAAAAAATCTGTGTGGTAGAATCTGGAAAAAATGTGGTAGATCTCAGGTTTTGGATCAAACTTTGTACAAAAATTAAAAAAAAATCTGCAAGGTTTAACATAAATTGCAAACATCTTAATTAGAATCTTAAAAAAAATTTATTTTAGTATAATAAAGTGCAAGATTGAGGTTGCTAAAAATTGCGTTGACTTTTGGCAAAAGCAGTTCCTTTCATATCAAGATATTTTTCGAACATTTTAAAAGATTTCTGCAACCTTGCGGAGTGCTGCCAGTTTTTCTTTTTATCACATCACGATGTAGCGAACAAATGTGGCACGTTCCAGAAACCGCTACTTGGGATTTGCCGATTTTGATAATTCGAAAGTAAAAGTAAACAACGCTTTAGAAACTTTAGATGCACTGAAATATAAATATAATATAAATCATATATTTTGCAGTTTAACACAATAAAAAAACGTTTCCTGCCGAAAAATTGAATATTGAAAATATTTAATATTTTATTTACAGTTTATTTTATAATCCCATTCTCCCTATTGTTAGTGTTTAGTGTTGGACAATTTTTGCTCTTACACTTAAGAAAATTATGTCGAGCAAAACTAAAACTACTCAAAAATGCGAATATGTGGTAGATTTCAGACCTTGTGTGGTAGATGTGGTAGATGTGGTAGATGCTCAAAAAAGTGGCAGATCTACCACAATGTGGTAGAAGTCCGATCACTGATCTTAATAATTAAAATTTCCGCGAAAAGCACCATCATAGGTATGACTTAATTATTTTGGGGCTGCCTAAAGCTTTGGTTTCCTCGAAAAACAGTGCCGTAATATTACGTCCGTACCTTACCGAATACTATTCTCAACGCTAATAGCAGTACCGCTTTTATGTAAGGTGAAATTAACGTATAAAAATGTATATTTATTGTTTTTATTTTGAGCAAAAGGATTGTAAACAAATTTACTTATACACCGCAACAAGTTGACGTCGCCAAAAGATAAATACATATGGGCAATTCACAAGGTGTTGTGAAGTTATATTTTCCTAACAAAAGTTGTGTTAAAACACGACGGTTGTGAACACCTGTTACGATTATTTATTATATCTCAGCACTTAACCTCACATAACACCGAATAAACATAGGTTGCAGAGTTGTATCGTCATGTGTTATTTTTCTTCACAAAACAATAACAACATTTTTACAACTGTCATGAAATATCATGACTTCACGACAAACACGACAAATACGACACCTTGTGAATTGCCCAATAGTTCTACAGTGTAGAATCTACACCGTCACTTCCGCTGTCACAAATATTGCGGTGCCGTCAAATTACATTACTGTGTATTGCCGTCATCTTAGTTGCCACCCGGTAATATACAGGGTGTCCCAGAAATAACGTGCCAAACTTTAGGGGAAGGTAGNAACTGTGTATTGCCGTCATCTTAGTTGCCACCCGGTAATATACAGGGTGTCCCAGAAGTAACGTGCCAAACTTTAGGGGAGGGTAGGTGGGGTGTGAGCTCTCTGATAAACAAAAAAATTTCAGGTAAAAGAGTCACCGTTTTTGAAATATTTACATTTTTTTGAATTTAAAAAAAATCGTGCATTTTCATGTATTTTCTTTAACTGCATCAACAAACCAGGCTATACTTAGTAAATTTTTTATGTAAAATACTTCCAGATAGTTGCTTCTCCATACTCAAATGCAATGTAGTTAAAATATATAAAGGAACCATCATAAAATTAGGACTATTTTGGGATTTTCACCTTTTTGATATTTTCTTCCCCAACTTTGACTATCTCTGTCGCAAAAAAATGTACTGAGCTATAACTTTACATTACATAAAAAATTGTTCATTTAATAAAGATTTCAGAAAGGTGCCACTCTTACTGTGTCGCATAGACAAAAAAGTTATAGCCGCTTTTGTGGGCAAAGGACTGATTATAGCGTGCTATAATGTATTTAATAGATTTAAATTTAAGTTGCTCTTGTTACCGACCAATGACATGCTAAATAGTACACAGGTACATTATTATCTGCTAATGTCATTATTTGATGTTACATACCGGCATTCGGACTAAAGTCTATAACAAGAGCTATATCTATCAATATTTTTTGTGAAGGATGGGTGCACGTGAAATAAAATATACATAAGTTGTTGGAAGAAAAATTTATTCATTTATTGATATATGCTCAAATTGGCGACCTTCTACTCTAATACAAGCTCGGCATCTTTTAAGAAGGACGCTTTTAGAGATCTTAAACTCAACTGGGCTATCTCAGCAGCAGCTACATTTATTTGTTCCCGCAAATGCTCTCCGTTTTGAATTGTTTTTGAATAAATTTTGTCCTTAAGACAGCAACCGTAGAAAAAATCTAATGGATTCAGGTCTGGCGATCGAGCGGGCCACGTGATTGGCCCGTATCGTCCAATCCATCGGCGAGGATAAGCTTGGTCTAAATGAGCTCTTACTTCACGCCCGTGGTGAGCAGGGCACCCGTCGTTTTGCAGCCATAGTCTTCGACGCAGGTTTAAGGGTACATCTTCTAAAAGAGTTGGAAGCCGTGCCTGAAGGAACTCTAAATAACTGTGAGAGTTGAGCGTTGGCGGCAGTTCCACAGGTCCCAATATCTGACAATTAAAAATACCGCACCATAAATTTATCTTGTACCGGCACTGCGAACGATCTTCTGTCATTTCGTGAGGATTGTCTATCTGCCAACTGTGCAGGTTATGTAAATTACAATAACCATCACGTTTGCATGATGATTCATCGCTCCAAATTATTTGATTAAAAAAATTGGGGTCTGATTCATGTATTCGCAACATTTCACGGCAAAATCTAACCCTCGACAGGTAATCTCTTTCTTGTAGAGCCTGAACACGTTTAATGTGGTAGGGATGAAATCATGGACTATTAAAGCTTTGTGAACTGTAGTTTTTGGTATTCCCGTCCGTCTTTCCATCACCCTCACTGAAGTCGATGGACCTAGTTCCACTTCCTCTAATACAACTTCAACATCTACCGTTGCATGACGTCCTGTTTAGCTGCCACGCCTTCCAGGTATGCGAGCTTAAAAAAGAGAAAAATTACAGTTGACAAGCAAGCAAATGAGAAAGGTGTAAAAATCACTCACCTTCATATATTTCTCTATGGGTCCGGGCGAATACTTCACGACCAGGATGCCGACGATTGGGGTATCGCTATGCATAGAGTCTTTGAGCAGCTCTGGCATTACAGCAAGCTTCACTGAGTTAGGTGAATATCCGCATATTTAGGCCACGTATACTGCGTGTTCTCTGTCATAGTANAGCAACCGTAGAAAAAATCTAATGGATTCAGGTCTGGCGATCGAGCGGGCCACGTGATTGGCCCGTATCGTCCAATCCATCGGCGAGGATAAGCTTGGTCTAAATGAGCTCTTACTTCACGCCCGTGGTGAGCAGGGCACCCGTCGTTTTGCAGCCATAGTCTTCGACGCAGGTTTAAGGGTACATCTTCTAAAAGAGTTGGAAGCCGTGCCTGAAGGAACTCTAAATAACTGTGAGAGTTGAGCGTTGGCGGCAGTTCCACAGGTCCCAATATCTGACAATTAAAAATACCGCACCATAAATTTATCTTGTACCGGCACTGCGAACGATCTTCTGTCATTTCGTGAGGATTGTCTATCTGCCAACTGTGCAGGTTATGTAAATTACAATAACCATCACGTTTGCATGATGATTCATCGCTCCAAATTATTTGATTAAAAAAATTGGGGTCTGATTCATGTATTCGCAACATTTCACGGCAAAATCTAACCCTCGACAGGTAATCTCTTTCTTGTAGAGCCTGAACACGTTTAATGTGGTAGGGATGAAATCATGGACTATTAAAGCTTTGTGAACTGTAGTTTTTGGTATTCCCGTCCGTCTTTCCATCACCCTCACTGAAGTCGATGGACCTAGTTCCACTTCCTCTAATACANGCTGCCACGCCTTCCAGGTATGCGACCTTAAAAAAGAGAAAAATTACAGTTGACAAGCAAGCAAATGAGAAAGGTGTAAAAATCACTCACCTTCATATATTTCTCTATGGGTCCGGGCGAATACTTCACGACCAGGATGCCGACGATTGGGGTATCGCTATGCATAGAGTCTTTGAGCAGCTCTGGCATTACAGCAAGCTTCACTGAGTTAGGTGAATATCCGCATATTTAGGCCACGTATACTGCGTGTTCTCTGTCATAGTATTAATAACACAATGTTCGAAGGGTATAATTTCACTAATTCCGGTAAGTAACATAAAATAATGTCAGAAGCAGGTAATAATTGATCATTGATCGGTAACAAGACCAACTTTAATTTAAATCTGTTAGGTTGCAAACAGAGTGGAAGCGAAGCCGAAGACGAAGATGAAGACGAAGCCGAAGACGAAAAACAGTGCGGTAGTAAACATATGAAAGTGATCACAGTGCAAGCAAAGACGGAGACGAAGATGAAGATGTTGCGCAAGCGGTCAGCTTGAAACAGTGCGGTACTGTTTTCAAAGACGAATCGCTTGCTGTGATGAGTTGTTTACAATTTATTTAACTGTTTGCAATTGTGAAAAAACGCGTTTTTTAAGAAATTGGATAAATTTTTGGTAAAATGTAATCACACGTATTAATTGGCATTCTTGTATATTCGAAAAATTTCTGTCCGTCTTGCCGTAACACATAATACAAGTGGCGAAATTCTCCAAAAGTTGTCCTACGCAAATTATTTCATGAATTGCTGTTTTTTCTTTATTTTCTTTTAATTTTATCTAACAAAAAGGGTTTTATTTAGAAACAAATCTTCATATCATTCATCTTCCACTATGTACACTCGCCAGCTTGCCCGCAACGCAAGCAATTCTTCTTCGGCTTCGTCTTCATCTTCGTCTTCGGCTTCGCTTCCACTCTGTTTGCAACCTTAGGCTTTTCTGATCTAACCGTTGGGTAAATAAAAATACTTTATTTAGCTTTTTCCCGACGTTTCGCTAAGA